GCTATTGTTCTCTTCTTCCCTCAAAGTTATGGAGTAAGACATCGATTTCTCAATAAGATCAATTTTTTGATTGCATGATGGACTCCCCTGAAAAACATCGGCGCGCGTGTAAACGAGGTGCTCTACCAACTGAGCTATAGCCCTTAGTGCTTGTAATACATATTTTATTATGTAGATAATTTCTTGTCAAGATGAATATTCTCAAGATGACTATTCCATGATCCAAGATCATATTGATCGGTATTGCTTCTAAGTAATATCATATTTATAATCCATCGATGGGATGAGTCCCCTTTGGTTTTCTTTGTGAAGATAAATGACCTACTTAACTCAGCGGTTAGAGTATTGCTTTCATACGGCGGGAGTCATTGGTTCAAATCCAATAGTAGGTAGAACTTATTAGATACCATTGCCCGCGGTATCTAATAAGTTTTTATACCCATTTTCTTTTAGTGATATTTATTTTGTATCTTTTCTATTTCTTTTCTTTTTCGTTGCATCAAAATCTGATTGCGCTTGATTGTATTTACTCGACAGAATCAAGTCAAACAAAACAACCAAATATAGGGTGTATAAATCGATGCTTATTCGGACGCACCGACTGGTTATGAAATCGCATTGATAGCCTCTACTCGTGTCCTAGCCCGTCGGAGAGCTAGATTTGCCTCAATTGTTTGTCTCTTTCCTTCAGCTTTTCTCAAAGCAGCTTCCGCTATTTCAAGAGTTTGCTGAGCTTCTTGTGGATCAATGTCACCACTTTTCTCTGCATCATTTACTAAAACAGTGATCTCATTATTACCTATTCTAGCAAAACCGCCCATCAGAGCCATCGTTAACCATTGGTCGTTAAGGCGTATTCTCAAAATACCTATATCTATTGCTGTGGCAATAGGAGCGTGATTTGGTAATACGCCAATTTGTCCACTATTAGTAGATAAAATGATTTCTTTCACTTCTGAATCCCAAACTATTCGATTAGGGGTCAGTACACAAAGATTTAAGGTCATTTATTCGAATTGCTCTCCGTTTCTAAGTTCATAGCCTTCGCCGTAGCTTCATCGATGTTACCTACCAAATAAAAGGCCTGTTCAGGAAGACCATCTAATTCTCCGGAAAGGATTAATTGAAAGCCTCTAATTGTTTCTGCTAAACCAACATATTTTCCCGGAGAACCCGTAAATACTTCTGCTACGAAAAAAGGTTGTGATAAGAAACGCTCAATTTTTCGCGCTCTTGCTACGGTTAAACGATCCTCTTCGGATAATTCGTCCAAGCCAAGAATAGCTATAATATCTTGAAGTTCTTTGTAACGTTGTAAAGTTACAAATAAGTACGCCTATCGTTTTTCCAAATAAGTCTCGCGGATACATATAATTCAGAAGAATATGTGAGTGATTCATACACAGCATCTCTTTCCGTTATCAGGGGTTCTACCAATTGATATCTTTCCAAAAATAATTCAAAGTCAATTTCTTGATTTGTATCTTCAATTTTTGGAAACTTAGAAAGTTCTTCTGTCAAACCCTGATCAATGAACCTACAAAATCCTTCAAATTGTATCTGATTAAATCCAGGTATTGTGGACATTGCGTCTATCCCAGATTCTTTTGAAATTGGCAGTGATTTATACTCATCCATATCGAATTCTCCAAAAAACAAAAACAAAAATAAATACCATTTTGGCTGGCTCATTATCCATCAAATCCTATTAACAACGACGGAATTTCGATTCTATGAATCTTTGACTGGAATCTGTGAGATAGGTGGAATAAAAATTTATACTTAACTTAAATTGCCATTTTTAAGAGATGCAAATGGAACGGAATTGACAAAACAGTCCTAGAAACAGAATTCTCCCACTTAGGCTTACTATGTTTTAGGATTTTTTTTAGAATATCAAAACTGATTCAGTTTCTTATATTATAATGTATAACGGTATTTATATTCTAATCTACTTGAATATTGAATACCAGAAAACCATATGAATTCGTATTTATTAAACGTTAAACACGTGCAAAAATACCTCGTCCGGCTGTCTTCTTGCTTTGTTTAATGTTCTCCTTTCTCTCCTTTCCGTGGTCAATTGACGCCTGACTTAGGGCGGAATATAATTCCCATTATCATTATCAAGGCACAAATCAATCTTTTGGTTAGTTAAACAAGTCAAAAGATTGGTTGGTTACCGAGCGTAACCCTTGGATAATGAAAGAAAAACGAAAGAAGAAAGAAAGTTCTCGACCATTGTTTTTCGGTTTGATTCAGAAACTTTATTTCATTGGTCTTTCTCTCTTTCAAGTTTCGAGATTGTATAGTTTAATGGTAAAGTTTGATTACCATTAACCCCCAGAAGAGTTAACGAGTCTTTCGGTTTGATCCTATTTATCTATTTATCTGCTGTTGAGCCTATTCATTGTCTTTCTATCCTATTCATCGCCGAGAGAGGGCGTACTTAGGGAACTATACTATACGATTTTTGGTATTTTCCTTATGCTGACCTTCGGCCCCTATGGTCCAGCGGTTACGACTTCTCTCTTTCACGGAGATAACGAGGGTTCAAGCCCCTCTGGGGGTAAACAATGCCCATAGAAATGACATTTTCAGTCGTCTAAAAGGAATGATATTTTCAATCGTCTAAAATCAATTAGGCGTTGGGTCGATGCCCGAGTGGTTAATGGGGACGGACTGTAAATTCGTTGACAATATGTCTACGCTGGTTCAAATCCAGCTCGGCCCAACAATTCGCCAATCTACCATCAGATGGTAGAACCCTCTTGTTCTTAAGAAATACCTGATACGAGAGAATAAAAAAGAATCGAAATTTTCTGCTAGATCCCTTCTGATTCCCCTGGGATTGTAGTTCAATAGGCAAGAGCACCGCCCTGTCAAGGCGGACGTTGCGGGTTCGAGCCCCGTCAGTCCCGACGGATCCAATAAGTACATCAATTCGCCTCTCCTTTTTCTGTGAAATAAGGGACAGAGAGCGTAATTGAATTCCGAGGGTCTTTCCCCCTTTTTTTCAGGATTCTGTCGAAGAAAGAACAAACCCTAAACTAAAATGAAAATAACTAAAATAGTGAAGTTGATAGAATATTCCGTCTTTGCTCCCGCGACTCATCTTTATCATACTTCTTTGTCTTCCAAATAAAATTGGATCATTAAAAAAACGGCGTTTAGAACCTAATTCCTCTCTTTTTCCACTTCGCTTTGTATTGTTTGTTGGGGTTTTGTAGTTAATGGAAACGGACGATGTGGTTAGATGCTACTTCATTTGATGGTTCTACAAGGAAGACCTAAGGTAGGTTAAAAGAAAGAAGGATAAATAAAGGAATTTTGGATTGGGACAGGAATCCAATCTTGGATTCGGTATAGATAAAAGATCTTCGTATGTTATACTATTCAATTCTCGACGACGAATTAATTTAATGGATCAGATATTGTTATTCATGATATTGATCCGATTCAAGATCATCGATAGGGAATGCATTCATTGAATTGACAGGTGAAAGATTTATCATCTCTATGGGATTAAATCCCGAGTTATTGTGAAATAAAAAAAACGATGAGATTATGGAAGTAAATATTCTTGCATTTATTGCTACTGCACTGTTCATTTTAGTTCCTACCGCTTTTCTACTTATAATTTACGTAAAAACAGTCAGTCAAAATGATTAATTACTTTAAATGAAACTTCAATTCTGATTTCTGATCAATAGTTGAAGAAATCAAATGAAAAGGATTCTATTTTTGCGTCTTAAATGAAATCAACGGGCTATAATCGGCGGTATTCGATGAGATCCGAGAGTATGGTAAGTAAGAAATCAATTTATTTCTTACCATACTCTCTATTAGTGTTATTGTAGTGTATAAAGTTGTACTTGACTTTCTAATAAAGTGGGTACTATATTAGCTTTTATCTTCAATATCTGTAGTTATTAATCCATATATGGAATTGACGTAGGACCCAATTCTATTTCTTTGATACATCTATTTATTCCGATCAATCTGAAATAATCGTTTTACTGTTATAGAATACATTTCTCCACTAGAATCCAATGGAATTTCGAAATGAAGATATTTTTATTTGAAAATTATTTCAATTCAAATAAAAAAATGCGTTGCAGAACGATCTATAAAACAATTGATACCCTTTCATTCCTCAACTAAATTAGGAGTGCTTCTAAAGCCCACTTCTTCCCCATACTACGAGTGAAAGGGAAAATGTAAAGACTACCATTAAAGCAGCCCAAGCGAGACTTACTATATCCATGTGAATTATGTCCCTTATCTCTATGATAGAATTATTCCATTATTGCTCACTAATAATAGTAGAATCAATGGTCCAGAGTCAAAAAGGGATTCAGGCGAAACACTATTGATGAACCAATCAAATAAATCCATTTCTAAAAAATTACTATATGATATGATATGATTTCTAATTGGCAAAGACTAAACACAAGTAAAATACACAATGACACCACAAAGGAATGTTACTAATGGAACATGTAGTAATAAAATAAGAGGGCCCATTCCTTTTTTTTGCCTTCATAAGTAAAAATAGCGAAATTGCTATCTATTACATACTTTTCTTTCCTATTTGATCTAATCCGTAGCCTTTCCCGATTGTCTCTCTGAAGCAGTTGGGAGATAGTATATTATACTTTTGAGGAGGGGAAAAAATGATTTTTTTCACTTTTTCTATAAAAAAGTAAATTATCCATCCAATCTCAATCTAATAGTGATTCAATGCCTGAACACTCAGAGATTCTCGCGAGTCTATATTCGATTCGTTTGTTTATGAGGCGGCACCCGGATTTGAACTGGGGAAAAAGGATTTGCAGTCCCCCGCCTTACCACTCGGCCATGCCGCCAAAACGATACACAATAGTAGAAAATTTTCCCTTTTTGGGTTGGATTACTAAACTTTAGTTTATTGTACTTGCATCTTGCATCCTTTTTTAATCCTTTTCCTTTTTCTAAATTTAGAAAAATTAGAAAATAAACCCTTTTGATTTTGATGATTGTATTTGATCCACCCCTTCGATTGATTGTATAGTATCTCAAAACGCACAATGCCGAAAAACTTCCCCTCGCTTTTCTATTGAAAAATCAAATGTATATTTTCACCCAAAAAAGCCAAAATTTATGACAAATGGGAACCATTAACTATTCGTTGACTGAGAATTCCTGAATGATTCTTGGGTTTGAATCTAAAATTTGGTTTGCCTAATGACATAAGAAAATACAAATTGATACATACTTAATCAGTATTAATTCTTTTGAACCAAAAATCCTTCTCAATTTCCATTATTCTCAATTTCCATTATAACAAAAATTATAAGTATATGTAAACCCCAGAACGTAAATTCTTACACAGATACCCAATTTGGTATCTTATTTATATTGCCTATAAATAAAAAATAAAGGGAATTTGTTGGAACAAAAAAAGGCCCGGCTGGGTATTGACCGGGCCAGGCCCAAAAGGCACTTCGGACAAAATAAAAGGAAGAAGGTCTTCTTTGTTTATCTTTCTATTTGGATCTTTCGAGCATCTAAATGGAATTGCTAATTATATAATAACGATAAAGAATGTCAAAGAAATACTTTCTTTAATCCTTACTTGATGTGTAATGTAAGATAGTAATTATCTTTTTCAATTGGGAGAGATGGCTGAGTGGACGAAAGCGGCGGATTGCTAATCCGTTGTACGAGTTATTCGTACCGAGGGTTCGAATCCCTCTCTTTCCGTTTCCGTTGATGACTTTCCATTTTTTTCTTTCAAATTTCGCAACCCCCTTTTTATTTTTTTACTAGTTAAACGTGTGGAATAGATAAAAGAAAATCTTAAGAAAATTGTAAAATCAAGCAAGAAAAACGAAATTTTTATTTTATTCTTCACGTCCAGGATTACGTCCTGGATCATTGGATAGGAATCCAAAGATGAAGAGAGAAACAAAGAATATTACTACTGTGTAAACGAAAAGTTTGAGAGTAAGCATTACACAACCTCCAAGATCATTTTTTGAAAAAGGAAAACGAGAAAAGATGATAGATCCTCCATTTTTATATCACATAATTCCTCCAGAGTGACTAACTGAGAGCTGAAAATAAATTCTTGTAAAGAGGCAAGTTGGTTGGTGATATCAGTGATTAAGCCCCCTGGTTTTTCTCCAAAAGTCAGCCCTACTAGACCGTGATCAACTGATAGCAGATGAGACTAAAGAAAAACAGAGAGAGTATCAAAGAAATAGAGAGAGTATCTCAACTCCCAAATCTTGATTCTTAGGTAATCTTTCAACTACCATAAGGGACATGAAAATGTATCCATTCTTGACAAAATTCATGAAAATGTATCCATTCTTGACAAAATTCATGAAAATGTATCCATTCTTGACAAAATTCATGAAAATGCATCCATCTTTATTCAATCAAAAATCAAGATACATGGGGGATATAACCCTCCTACAACATCAAAATGAAAGAATTTTATTCTCATACCCTCAATGTACACTATAGTCAACACACAAAGACATGACCCTACAAACAGCCAAAATCACAGACTCTGTACACTATCTTATTACAACTAACAAAAACGTACAAACCCTAAAACAGCCAAAATCAGAGTATAAACCCTAGAACAGCCAAAATCAGACTCTTTACGACTAATAAAATCGTATAAACCCTACAACAGCCAAAATAGAGAGCCATACCGTATTTTGTTCTCATACACTCTCTACCACCTCATATTGGTCAGTCGCTCGATCCATCATCGCAGATCAGCCCTTTCAGAGCTCCTTTCAACACATCGTAACCGAACCTGTAAGCCAGCGATGGAGTTTTACGAGCGAATTGTATCGCCTTTGGGGAATAGTTGTTTTGCGTATCATCTGATTTAGTGGTTGATTTAGTGGTTGATGTGCTAGACGAGGAGGCACTGGAGAAAGCCACCATGGACGAAGCTGCTCTCTTATTACCAAATGTGTAAGATAGCAAGATGGACGGTTTGTACTCAGAAGTGCTCTCCATCTGATAGCGGACATTTTCAACGATTCTCCCTTCTTCTTCTTCAACTCGATCGAGTAAATCAGCAAGCGACAGTTGGATTTTGGCTAAGGTGGAGTTTTTTATGACGCCGATTTTTCTTACCTCTATCGACAAATACTTGTTTTTGTCGCCAATCGTAAACGCCATTGGCTCTTTGAAATCGCATCGAGCCTGATCTTCTTCTCCATCAACCTTAAGAATATCTGACCTAACTTTCTCCCGACTGTCGATTCTGTTGGGGAATTTGGGGATTTTGGGAATTTGGAAATACTTGGATTGATACTGAAAGTCGTGTAAACACTTTCAGATTGAAGTATTTCGATGGTACTCTCGAAATCAACAATCGGATAAAATTCAGTATATGCAAGAACAGAGAATATCGAAGAAAGTTATGAATTTCGTACCAAAATTTTAATGACCAAAACGGGATATATAACTCCCTTATCCAAGACTAACCGAAATTCGGTTAACTTCCTTATCCAAAATTAACCGCCAAAAACCAACCGAAATCCTATCCAAATTCGGTTGAAA